ACTGCAAAATTGCAAGTAATTTTATATCCCGGACGAGCCCAATTCTGTTATGGGTCAGAATTACCCGAAATGCCAGCAAAGATCAATAACACAATTTAAACTTAACAATAATTTATTTACAGTAATATATAATAAGTATATGAAACATAAAGTACAAACTTAGCAAGAATCTAAGAATACATACATCAGAGTGTCCGTTGCTGCACACAATGTCCCAGTGAAAATATATCCCAGTTATATCTCAATAGTGCTTATACGACAAAGTATATCTATGCATCGAATTGACAGGGTATTTATACAGTATCATAAATCTAGAATATTCTAGAAAATGTTAAAACATGATATTACTGGAACAATCTGGACATACACAAAATTTAAGAATGTTCTAGATAAAATGACCGAACATGTTGACCACTCTGGAACGTTCAAGAAACTTAATGTTACTAATTATATACATAATGAAACAATACACATCTCACAACAAAAACAATATCGTAAAAAAATGTTCGAAATTTTGAAGCTCTCAATATGACTTTTTCCGGACCATTCCTAGTGTTAACTTGCAGTAGTTGAGGTGGAAGTTAACTGCGTTATGCAGATCTTTATATATTGCTCTATCTTCCTACAAGTTTCATTGTCCTTTGATGAGCGGTTTTATAGAAGAGTGCGGACAATCTTACCCTAAAAAAATCACTGAACTGCAAAATTCTTTGAACCTGAAGTGACGTAATCAAAATAAAAAGAGGGCAAAGGGCCTAGAATCGCTTTTCTGATAAATACAAAATATCACATTTATTTGAAATCTAACTCTAAATATCCCATGATGCATTAACTGACAAAGTTGAATGATTCTTAGTCATTTTAGACAGAAGATATTTCCATTTAGCTATGAAACACCGTAAATAGGTCATAGTGACCTACTTTTTGATTTGAAATTATCTGAGGACTATTAATTGATGCATTAATTGACAAAGATTGATGATTCTAAGCCAATAAGAACATGAGATATACAAAAGTAGGTTACTGTGACCTACTCTATGGTTAACATTCTCCAAAACCCCAAGTGACAAAGTTTGACCATTCTAAGCCATTAAGTGTCACTTATCTTTTAATTTAGCCATAAAATGTCAAAAGTAGGTCATCGTGACCTACTTTTCAAACGACGTTCTCCAAAAACCCAAGATGCATCATCTGACAAAGTGTGATGATTCTAAACCAATAAGTACCTAGAATATTTAAAATTAGATTATTGTGACCTCCTTTTCTTTCGACAATCTCCGAAAACCCAAGATGCCTCAACCGACAAAGTTTAACAATCATAGGCCAATAAGTACCCGTGATACTTAAAATTAGCCATAAAAATTCAAAACGAGGTCACAGTGACCTTCTTTTCGGTCGACTTTCGAAAATGCATCAACTGATAAATTTTGATGATTCTAAGCCAATAGGTAAATAGATACTTAAATATAGCCATAAAATGTCAAAAGTAGGTCACTGTGACCTACCTTTTGGTTGACATTTTCTGAAAACCTAAGTTCCATCAACTGACAAAGTTTGATGATTCTAAGCCCAAAAGGGCTTACTATAATTGAATAGAGCCATATAATGTCATAGTAGTTCACCGTGACCTACTTTTTGGTCAACGTTTTCCGAAGACCAAGGATGCATCAACTGGCAAAATTTTATGATCTTAGGTCTGAAATTTTTTTTTTAAAAAATGCCTTTTAAACAATTTGAAAACAAATGCCTGCAAAATTCAAAACGTAGGTCACAGTGACCTACGTTTTATTAAATATGTTTAAGTCCACCAAGATGCATCAATTTACAAAATTTTGTGATTCTAAACCTAAATGGGATTAAATGTTTTAGAAAAGTTTTGCCATTAAAGTAGAAAAGTAGGTCAGGTGACCTATTTTTAAGTTGACGCTGTTTGGGGACCCAGAATGCATCAAATAACAAAGTTTGATGACCAGAAGCCTTGCATTTTCTAAAATATGAATCCAAATCAATTTGGCCCTCTGGAGATCCGGGTTGGAATAGGTCCTCAGTACCCCCTTGCTTGTCGTAAAAGGCGATTAAATGGGGCAGTCCTACGGGCCAGTCCGTATAAACCGAGGCCCCGTGTCACAGCAGGTGTGCAACGATAAAAATCCCTCACTGCTCAAAGGCCGTAAGTGCCGAGCATAGACCTAAATTTTCAGCCCTTCACCGGCATATCAGTGAAATATTCTGGAGAGGGACGATAAACAGTATACAATCATTCAATCAACCAAATCAATTTGAAAACAAAATCCAGTATTTTTTTTAAAAAGGTCTCTGTGACCTACTTTTGTGTTTATATGATGTAAAGTCCTACATTGTACGATGCACCAACTCACAAGATTTGATGATCCTAGTCTTTATAATAAGCAAAATATCAACATTTCTATTAATTGTAAATTTTGATCAACTTTGAAGTGACCTTTATACCATGCACAAAATCGGTAAGACAAAAAATAAGAAGGAAAACAGTGGAAAGGAAACCATAGAATAACTAGACAAGATCTCGTTGCGAGCAACGAGTTGGTCTTCCGTCTGATTTCTGATGAGGTGTCAGATGTCAACAAATCAACCATGAGAATTTGGATATACATGTAATCAAATGAGCCATCTCCAAGAAATCGCCTGCACAAATTTTTAAAGAAGAAAAAAGAATGAAAATAATGACTAGAGCTGAGCTTCTTGCAAAGCAACGAGAAGATTTTCCGTCCTATTTACGATCTTGACATTATTAGCCCCACTTGAGAATTGAAGAATAGGTAAAGATAAATAACATAAGTCCTAAAATTATTCACAAAATGCTACCAAAACACATAAAAGTGAGATTTTTAAATATTTAGCCATTAATGGTTCTTTTTAATTGCTTCCGGTGTGACAACAATTGCTCAAAACGTGTTAACATTCCACAATTAGTGGGTTCATGACTTTTCCCAAAGATTCATTGAAAAAACCCGCATTTTTGAACAATTTCTGGTTTATAAATAACTCTCGGTTTTTAAGACCTAACTTCCGGTGGATATAAAATGACTTGAAACACCCTATATGTCTATGCTATTAACATTTAATTTTTTTTTTCAAAAATTCAAATTTTTAAAGTATTTCCGGTGGACAACGGAAGTAGTGACGGAAAAAAAAAAAACATCGGATACAAATGTACTGATCAAAATCTAAATTACAGAAAACATTTCTTGTTTGAATCTTTAATAATTCTTTAGAAAAGGCACAGACAAAATTTCATTTAAAAAAAAGAAAATCCTGAATAAATTGCGATTGGAAGTGATGTCATCAAATTAAGGGAAAGGCCTTAAATTTGTAGAATTTCCCATCATTGCTGAAACTATCATGAAAATCCATTGACGCAATTACGAGAAATCGCGTGCACAAAATCGGTAAGAATAATTTTGATAACAAAAGTTGAAAAGAAGCAACAGAATAATAAGAAGGTCTTCCGTTTACACGGAAGACCTCAATAACAAAGGGGGAAAAGAAACCGATGAATAATAAAAGGTCTTCCGCTAAAGACGGAAGACACTAACAAGAAGATCTTCCGCTAAAAACGAAAAACCTTAATAATAGGAAACAAAAGAAAAAACAGTAAGGTCTTCCAAAGGAAGTTACAGGGCCTTTATTTCGCTCCTCTATTGCCTAATCTCAAATCTGTTTTCTCAGGTCTGTTATTTTTTCTTAGAATTGCATGACATTCTTGTCTGTATTTTACAACATTTTACTTGATAAAAAATAATAAGAAAATAACATACCATTTCATTGTATAGTTTCATTTTGAAACGTCTGAAAAAATACCAGTCAGCATGTGAGCCTTCCAAAACCAATTCTGAATATTTATCTTCAGCTTCGAATCCAAATGAATCAAATTTTCCATCAGGATTAAACAAAATACATGTTGAGGTCTTCGATGACACGAGAGAACCACCAATCCAAATCTTTGTTTCTATTTTGTGTATCCCTTGTCCACTTTTGAAGTCATGTTTTGAGAGGTATGCAAAACCAGAGTATGTTGTTCCAAAATCAATTGCAGCAACGTGTTCGTATTCATCTGTGTCTAATTTATACCTAAAAATGAGTCAACATATATACAAACGAGTAAAAGCTTTCAGGAAATATACAATAATTTGATAAACATCATCCATGACTATGTTTTTCCTTTTAAAAACTAAGAATGATTGCGGAATGTTTAACCATTAATTCTTTGTCGTTTTTAACGGGTTTGTTTGGGGTATTTTATATTAGTTCATACTATATTAAACTCTTTTTTTAAAAAAAGAAGATATTTCTATTCATTTCGTTTCTTTATATAACGATAGGACTTTCCTACAAATTACACAATTTAACGTAGAACATACGTCGTATGACATCATATCTGTTGGATGCGTTTAGCCTAACTATGAGGTCATTATCAATTTATGTCACTTTACAACTTCTATAACTATAAAAATTTTAGAAATAAAGCAATTTGAAATTTGTGATATTAAATTTAAAATCATCCGAAATACCCTTAATTTGTTCGTATATTCAATTTATATAATTTTGTATTTTTGGTTATTAAGCTAAATGACTGAATACATTTCTTAAATTAGAGAAACTTGTAGGCACCTTTCATTTAAGAAATCTTGGCTTGAGTTGGCAAATCCAAGATGTAATGAAATAACACAACTTATTGAGATAATGTAAAATTTTTATGATACATGTATGCAGCTGTTTAGACGGAATGCAAAAAATTCTAAGAAATCTTCAGTTCACTGTTGCCAACTTAATAGAATAATATCTTGATGAAATGTGTCTGAGTCAACGACTTGTCAAAGATTATGTGTAAATTTTGTGATTTCTTTATTGTGAAATGATGTGCTTTGATTTTAAAATTATTTTTTAATCATTAACATATATTTTAATGGATGGTATTTGATTAGAATTTTTCTATCACATATGATCATCAAATATAAAAATACAATTTTTGATAAAGAATCACATCGTAAATTTTGAAGTGATCCCAAACAGTCATTTAATTGTTCAATCCTGTGTGAGTGCTAAAAGGTCAATAAAAGTAAATTGGTAAATAAGCTATCTCTGGTTAGTTTGCGTTGAAAGATAAATATTTTGATCATTTTTTTGCCAATCAATAGGGTATTTTCTTCATCATATTAATGATTGAAAACATTTTTACAAAGACTTCTGGAAAGAATTAACAAAAGAGTGGAAAATTGACTAATAAATAAAAGAGTCAACTGAACAATTAAAAAATAATGTATTCTTGAGAAATATAGCTTAACACTGTTCAGTTGAAAAAGTCTGTGAACAAAGATGTTAAAAGAAATATTGTTTGATTTTTCATTTTCTATTAATGAAAGACACCTAAAAATGACTGACAATGTGAAGTCGCAGTATGTTATTATGTTACGTTTCACAATACATTTATTAACAAGGAAACATGCCATATGCTTTTAACTCATTGATAAGCGAGTGCTAATGTATCATTTTAAAAAGTTTGAAAATCTTGTGACAAAAACTTTTCCGACAAAGTTCTACATGTACCTTAAATCAAATGTGGATCACACATTTAAACAATACCCGATTTATTACAAATTTTCCGATAAAACGTGGGGATGTTAAAATTCAAAATGCGTGAAAATTTGAATAACACGTATATTACAAAATAATGTAAATCTACACTTAATCTCGTATTTAAATATTTCAGAACAGATACGCCATATTGTGGAAAAAAAATTGTTTGTGGGGGTTATTTTTCGTTGTTGACGATGTATGAAGAGACCCACGAATTCATGTCCATTACGAAATGTAATATGATACATACATAACTACTCAGCTATTCTTCATCCTAGAATTCCAATCCCCATGACCCATGAGTTTTTCCTCTTTTGATCCCACAAAAATATATCAATTTACAGTATATATCTTTAACTGGGATTAATTGACTTTTACTGTTTTACTCCGAGTCGGCAATATCTCAGCCATATTCCGGCGGCCTTTAACTGGGATTGTTTTCAAAAAGAGAACAACTAAAGATTTAGAACATACACCGACAAGATGAAAACGATATCATATTATAACTATAGCGTGAGAAATCAGAAAGAGGGTCTAGCATGTATAATAATTTAAACGAGTAGTTACTGACGAAAGAAAATCAAAAAACAAGTTAACGTAGGTTAACAAATTCTGACCTGGTTGCAAAATACATTTTTGATTCAATATTTTCGTTTTACATAGACTGTTTAATTTTACTAAACACGATTTTTCTTACACTGTAATACTAACCCTGACTTTAGATATATTGTCGATTCATTCTTTTCTGGCAAACAGCATAATGTCACTCCCATAAGGGTCCCGGTGAAGGACACAGATATTTTTATTTTCCTAGAACCCAGTGGATCTAGTGCAAGAGAACTACTGCCTATGAAAAAACTATTTTCACTTTTCAGGTCTTCTGGATTTTCCTCCGTAGATGCATAAAAAAAGAATGTTACATATTTGGAGCCTGGCACGTTCCAAAGTGTTTGTTCATATATCTGTGTATCTTCTTCAATCAACGATCCAATTGATATAATTTGCTGAAAAGGAACTTTTTTGTCCAGCATCTTGCATTCTTCACCATTTTTTTCTGTGAAGACATATGTGAAGACATATGTGAAAGAGGCGTTTCTTTCACGGAGAATCTTTCTATTAAATCCATATATGAGAGCTCCTCTCAAGGCTGCCAAACGTGCGTCTGGAGGGACATAGATTGTCATGTTTGGAAATTTCGAGCTCATTTTCTCTCTCAACATCTTGAGTTGAGAAAATCCACCAACAAGCAAAATAGTTTTTACCTTCTTTCCTTTTGGATGGGAAAGTGCTTTTTGAGTATAGTTGCAAATGTCAGAAACTGGTGCATTCATGTATGATTTAACTTCTTCAAGTCCAAGATAGCATTTGTCTCTACGAATGTGTAGTCGATCTTTGAAGTTTGGCATATTTTGCAATCTTTCCTTCACTAATTCACAAAACGACGGTGTTATATTAAGCTTGAGGTATTCATTGTGGTCGTTTGGTGTAAATTCTGCAATCTTCTGCTCTAAGTCTTCTTGAATAGAAAGAAAATCTGAATGATATTCAGCATTATAGATTTCAAGTTCCTCTTTGCCGGTGATTTCTTCTATAGTGCTGTAAAAAGCAGCTTTAATCTTTTGAGAACCCATATATTCGTCAGATGATACAAAGGGTTCCCTTATATCACCACCTGGTAGTATTTCGAATAACGTTGTATCAATGGAACTACCTATTGATTTAAAAAAAAAGAGGGGAAATGTAAAACCCAGGAAAAAATATACAAAAGAAAAAAATATTTTTAGTCCTTGCCTTTCACAGTATGTACAAATATATTGATGGTTCTAAGGATGTATTCTTCTGACATCCGGGAAAAAAAACGTGCATTAAACTTTCCACATGCTTATATTTTTTTCTAAAAGTGTAATATCGTAGGTTAATAACAACAAAACTTCATTCGCAATCCTATTTGTAAAAGAAACATGTCGTGCGCCGACCACCGATATCTAACATCATTTAAATGCTGTTTTTATATGCATATGACATCACAAACCTATAATATTTTGTCAGAATATCTAAAAGATGATTTCCCAACAGCATGCCAAAAATATAAGTTTTGGTTTAATAGTATTTGTGATATTAAAAAAGTTTGTGTTTTTCCGGGACAACCCTCGTAGCTATATTGAACACGGCTGCCTCTTCAAAAATCTTAAAAACTGTGACTTTCATGGCCCCTGAGTCAGGGATTCTTACGTTAGGAAGGGGCTAAAACTGATAATTTGAGAGTGAAAATGTATTACTTTTTGTTAAAAACCTTCTTCTCTGCTCCTGGATATAAAATAAACAAACCAAGTACATGGTTATGCTGAATAATTCTATCTCTTACAAAATTGTGAATTGCATAGACACAGGGTCAGGGGTTTTAGTGAGGGTTGGTCTCTATTGATTACATAGTGAGAATGCATTTTTTAATCTTCTCTGCTCTTGGGTACATGTATTTACAAGTAAACTATATACATAGTAATATTGAGGAAGGATGTTTCTTCCTAACTTGTGAATTTTATGACCCATATGTCAGGGGTTCTGGTGTTATGGCGGGGCTCTTTTGATTTTAAAGTGAAATGCATTCAGTCTTTGAGAATCTTCTTTTTTCTCCTGTGTATTAAATAAAAATAGTACATATTCCTTAAGAGTGAGAATGTCTCTTCAAAAATTTTGAATTTTCTGCACCTGGGTCATGGGTTCTGGTGTTAGGGCAGAACTCTAATAATTATATTGTGAAATGCATGGATTCTTTGGATGTCTTTTCTAAAATTTGTTTGCTCTCGGGTATTATGCCAATGATCTAGGTAAATATTTATGATGAAGAAAGGTGCATCTTTCAAAATGGTTCTTTTCAGGCCCCCTAGATTTCGGGTATTCCTCCCTCCCCGGGTTTACAATCTGAAAAAAAGTAATGTTTTAAAATCTGTTCTTTGGTAGTTATAAACCATATATTATGAAATAAATTTTAAAATTTTTCATTAAATTTCAAAAATATAAAATATGTGGCCCCTGATGCAGTGGTTACTGTTTGTAAGGGTGCACAACTGGTGATTATAAAGTGGAAAGGCATTTTCTCTTTGTTTCTTTGATCTACCTCTGAGTATTCTAAGTAACCAAAGTAGGAATGCTAAGTATATAGCTATGATAAACATTCGTGCCCCTTTCAAAATTGTGTATTTTTATGGCTTTTGGATTAAAAAATGGAACCAATAATTGTTGGAAAGTTGTTACATGATACTTAGGTGATATATAAAGCCCATGAGCGAGTTGTTGATTTCCATGAACAGTGTTGCTACAAACATAAATTTCTGTGAAATATTTGCTTCATCTCAAAAAGGACGAAAGACCACTTTTAAGTAATCGTTTAATGGTAGCTTAATGGTTACTTTATGGTGCTTAAAGAAGTAAATTCCTTTAAGCCACCATTAAGTTACAAATCTGATGGGAAACCTTGAAATAAGCAGCAACTAGAATATTAACCAATCAAAATTCAACACATATGCAAAAATGTGCTCAATTCATCTCTACAGATTCAATATTGTAGGGATGTGTATTTTTTAAATATACTTTTACTTTAGTTATCAGCTTTTTAAAACGTAACATTGACAAACAAAGCTATACTACTAGTGCAATTGATAGCAAGATAATGTAATATGAACAAGCATAGGATTTTCGAGAACCCAATAACGCCGTATTCTTGAATGTTGATGATGTTGAGTTTGCTCCGTGGTTACAAAACATGTTGATTTTAAAATTCGATAAACACTTTTACTATAATAAGAAGCTTGATGGTATTGTGTAATACAAAAAGGTGGCATCTTTATCGCTGATATTGATTGTAAATTAACAGCTTTAAAAATCTCGTGGGTATCTATCTTGTTTAAGAACAAAGGCATTGCTAAGGAAGCGTAAATGGCTCTACATTGCATATAGCCTTATACATTTAAAATTTGTATTAAAATGTTTTTACATAATTAAAGGCAACTTATTTCGTTTAGTGGATTTTATTGCTGTAAGTTTATATATAAGTTAATATATTGATTTTCAGATATTGATCGAAACAAGATACAAGTACTTAATCATATCAAAATAGTATTATCGATATGATAAAATAAATATAGTTTTATCGATATTATTATAAGAATATATGCGAGAAAGAAGTAACAATAAAGTGTTTTTTGAATTAACTTCGTGGGTGCAGGAATTCTAATGAAACTTCATTTTAATTGAGATTCGGTGAAAGCTTATGCACCATATGCATGTATTTTGCAAGCGTGTACTATTATGAGTTTAAATAGATTTATAAATTCGTATTTTGAAAAGGTAGATGGAGACACATCAACAGAAAGATTCATAGAGGGCTATTGAACCAATCGTTTACAGATTACGACTTTTGAAGAGGGGGAAGGGGGGGGGGGGGGCAAAAGTATATCTTTGTTCCTCTCATCCAGCTTTTTTTTTTAAACCTGAGTGCAGCAATAATCCATTAATATATCCCAAATCTATGTGCAGGGAGTTTTTAAAATATATTTAAGAAGCACTCTTGTTCATCATAAGTATGTACTTATTTAATTTAATACCCAGGAACAGAAAAGAAGATTTTCAAAGAATTAATGTATTTTCAATCTCATGATAATCTATAGAGCCCTGCCTTACAGTCCCTGAAACGTTCTACTTTCCTATTTTTCTGTTCGCTCGCCGTTCGTTCAGCGTTCGTTCACCGTTCGTTCAGCTTGCATTCATCGTTCGCTCTCCGTTTACAGCTTTGCGTTAAAGCAATTTGAGCTGCATTTTTGAGAATTTTATTTTGAAGGTAAAGTATGCTATTTTTATTGATTTGTATGTAATTTAAACCCTTAAGACCAATAAGCCCAAATTAAATTTTAAAAAAGTGTTTCAGAAGAAAAAATTCTGTACGACCTAATATACAGTATTATATAATAATCATTATTGTACAGGACGACAATAATTCAATTTTACTTCAATCAAAGCTTATAAAAAATTTCCATCGCAAATATGAACAAAAGAAGTTTATAAATGTTTTTTTTTTCTTTCAATGAAAGAGTTAATGACAAATTTTCAACAAAATTTTCCGATGTCGTATATGCTGCCCATATTGCTTTAACTGTTCACCATGCTCTCTTGTTCACCGTTCACAAAATCTTCACAGTTCGCTCTTCGTTCCGTTTACTTTGCGTTCATCCTTCACTTATCGTTCAGTCTTCATTGTCATTCGGCACTCCGAAGTGAAAGGACTTATCTTCTTTACGGTGATGATTTACACGATTTTTAATAAAACAACTAGGATATCGTGTTTGAAGAATAATTATTTCATTGCAAAAAGTATATACTATATCTATATTTCTATTATTATAACGTAGATGTTACTTTTGCTGGAAAATGATACATTAAGTACCTACAAGTATAATTCATGTCTTTTACAAGAAAAATATTTCTACATTATTTAAAAAAAAGTGCAGGAAAACATATTAGAACTACATGTAGATCTGAGAATTATAAACAATTCTGCAGATATTCAGTTAATTAAATATCTTTAGAGCTAATTAAATTGATAATGTGATTTTAAAATTTTAGAAAAGACAAACTGTTTAACATGTAATACATAAGAATTTTTTCCTACTTTACGTTAAGTCTATAATTAGAAAGGGAAAATTCCTTTCCTCACCGTACTTATATTTATGTGTGCCATTCAGTATAATTAAGAGCCCCCCCCCCCCCTCCAACACGGGGGGGGGCGCCTTTTCTCCCCGAATCAAAATCTTATTTAGTATTTAATATAGTTTAATTAATATTTAATGTGTATTGTGACACAATAAAACAGTCTTAAAACAAACATCAAAATAGTCATAAAACAATAGTATTTTCAAAATATACATGTGCCGATATTAGTATTTTAAATTGGCAGGGAATATGTTTCAAATTCAATTTCAAACTTAACACTGCTCCAATTATCCGTTTAATTTTTTCTGCAGAGTTGCGAAAATCAGATCGAAAAATGATAGGAAAAAATATCAAAACATTTTTGGAATACTAAGTGACTCTTTACCCTCGGCATGTTCGGTAAAACGAGATTTCAACACCTCCACTGTGTCGAATGAGTTTGACTGTCAGGACAAGCACGTGGACTTTGTATGAACCGCATGCGCATGAACTTGAAGATAGAAAATAAAAGCCGATTATTATTGTCAATGGATTTGTTAATCTAAAAAAATGATTACTTTTACTGTTTGGAATATTTAGGAAAAATAACAAGAATTTTTATTTGATACAATATTCATTAATTTAACTGGTTTTCACCCAATCCCTAAGATCCCCGTGGGCGGAAACCATAAAATTCACAATTTTTGTCCTCCTTTATCCATAAATGCTATAAACCTAATTTGATTGAAATAGATTCAGTGGTTTCAGAAAAGAATGCGAAAATGTTCAAATGTTAACACACGAAACACGACGGACGACGGTCGACGAAGGACGAAAACAGATAGCAATAGGTCACCAAAGTGACTCAGATTACCTAAAATTCTTACACCTGTTTTAAAAACATATACTAAGAAATTAAAAAAAATCAAATTGCAAGTTTCTGAAC